TACATTGCCTGTAGGAGAAGTTTATAAACATTTTTTGGTCAATTTTAATCAAGCACATTAACTCCACTTTAAAAATTTAAATGTTGCCCTGGCCAGTGTGGCTCAGTTGGTTGTTGTTCAGGGAACTGAAGGGTTGTCAGTTCAATTCCCAGACAGGGCACAAGTCCAGGTTGCAGGTTCAATCCCTGGTTGGGGCACATATGGGAAGCAACTGATCAGTGCTTCTCTCTCACATTGATGTTTCTCTCTCTCCCTCTCCCTCTCCTTCCCTCTCTGTTTAAAATCAATAAAAGCGTGTTGTTGTTGTTTTTTTAATTTAAATGTTATAAATACATTAGAAAAAGATTAAAACGTCTCTTTCAGAGATGGTATAGCATTATAATAACCAGTAAGGGTATAAAGTCAGAACAAATGGGTTTTGATTTCAACTTTCCCACTAATAGCCATAGGACTTCACACACACATCTTAACTTTCACACATCTCTACTTCCTTTTCTATTAAGATCATATAACGAAAGCTATTATAAGGTTAAAAGGAATAATACATCTAAAGTATATAGCACAGTGCTTGGCACTGTGGTTTAGTAAGTGGTGGCTTAAAATACCTTTTATGTCTTGCCATCATTTATGCAAACAGTATCATTGGCAAAATAAAGGTTTGACTTTAAAGCAAAGTAAATGTATATATCTTAGAATTGCAATTAATTTAAAGAATCATTTACTATGTTAAATTAAATCAACTAACATATTAGTTGTTGAATATTGTTATTGTATATATTTATATTTCCAAACAATGTTTCCTATGGGAACATAATATGAAAGAAAATGTGTGTATTTCCACATAGTAGAAAAATTTTCCAAATAATTGAAACTATTACTCAATTGATGTTTTGTTTCTCTTAGAGGAGAATGTCCTATTTATTTTTATTTCTAGAAGTGCTTTGGTAAGCTGTTTGGGATAAAAGCTATGACCCCAAGAACATGCTGAAGTTGTTAATTTGATCACCAAAGGCAAAAAGGAGAATTTGTGTTGCTTAGGATGGGAGGTAGGAGAAGGAAGGTGAAAAGGTGATGAGAGTAAGATTTTTACTGTGTATACTCTGTCTCTTGGCCTCCCAAATATTCATTAAAATTCTGTTAAAATGTGGAAAATGTGCAGCATGGGCCCCTTTCCCACAAATCCATATGTAACAGCATTGTCTTTAGGCATATAATCTAACTGGAGAGAAATCCGAGATTTTAATTTTTTCTTTGTTTTTTTTTAAAAAAATATATTTTATTGGTTTTTTTACAGAGAGGGATAGAGAATTAGAAACATCAATGAGAGAGAAACATTGATCAGCAGTATCTTTTATATGTTTGTGGGTCATCTGTATATCCTCTTTGGACAAATGTCTCTTCAGGTCCTTTGCCCGTATTTTTTTTTAAATCAGGTTGTTTATTTGTTTTTTTGCTGTTAAATTGTATGAGTTCCTTATATATTTTGGATATTAACCCCAATCAGATATATCATTGCCAAATATCTTCTCCCATTAGTAGGTTGTCTTTTTGTTTTGTTGTTGATTGCCTTCATTGTTTAAAAACTTTTTTCGTTTAATGTAGACTCATTTGTTTATTATTTATTTTGTTTCCTTTATCTGAAGAAACATATCCAAAAAGATATTACAGACAGCTCTTGTGGGGGTTGGGGGAGTGTTGAGGGGTTGAGCAAAAAAGAAAAAAAAAAGAGAGAGAAAAGTCATGGACAGTAGGGTGATGATTTGGGGGGAGGGAGTAGGTGGGTGGAGGTGGAAGTGGTCATAGAGGGGATAAATGGTGATGGAAAAAATAAAATAAAAAAAGATATTGCTAAGATTTATGGCTAGTTTTTCCAACACCATTTATTGAAGATACTAGCCTTTGTCACAGATTAACTGACTATAGAGTTCTGGGTTTATTTCTGAGCTCTCTATTCTGTTCCATTGATCTATGTGTTTGTTTTTATGTCAGTATTATGCTCTTTTGATTATTATAGCCCTGTAGTATAGTTTGATATCAGGTAGCATGATATCTCCAACTTTATTCTTTTTTGTCAAGATTGCTTTGGCTATCAGGGTCTTTTATGGTTCCATATAAATTTTAGGATTTGTTCTAGTTCTGTGAAAAATGCCTTTGGTATTTTGATAGCAATTGCTTTGAATTTATAGGTTGTTTTGGTAGTATGACAGTTAAATAATGTTAATTATTCCTATTTGTGAGCATGGTTATGATTCCATTTAGTTGTATCTTCCTTGATTTCTTCCTTCTATGTCTTATAGTTTGCTGAGTAAATTTAAATTTATTCCTAGGTTTTTTATTCTTTTTGATGCAACTGTAAATGGGATTATTTTCTTAATTTCTCTTTCTGATAATTTTTTATTAGTGTATAAAAATGCAACCAATTTATGAATATTAATCTTGTATTCGGCTACTTACTGAATTCATTTATTAGTTTTAATAGTGTTTTTCATAGAATCTTTAGGGCTCTCTATATATAGTATCATGTCATCTGCAAATGATGATAGTTTTACTTCTTCCTTCCTAATTTGGATGCCTTTTATTTCTTGTCTGATTGCTGTGCCTAAGACTTCCAATACTATGCTGAATAAAAGTAGTGAAAGTGGACATTGTTGTCTTGATCCTGATCTTAAAGAAAAACCTTTCATCTTTTCACCATTGAGTATGACGTTAGCTCAAATATGGGTTTGTCATATTTTGGCCTTCATTAAGTTGAGCTTGGTTTCCTGTATCCCCATTTCGCAGAAAATTTTTTTTATTCTAAACGAATTTTGGATTTTATAAAATGCTCTTTCTCTATCTTTGTTATGGTCATATGTGTTTAATGCTACATTTTGTTTAATTGGTGTATCATAGTACTTTAAGATTGGAAGAACATTAAAAAACATTTAGTTCAGCCTTTGTGCTCTTGCCTATAGGTCTTTCCCGGAGTCCCACCAAATGAGCGTGCAGCCTGTTCCTGAAACTCCCAGCTCTGTACTCTAACACTGGGCTTGCCATCTTCCTTCCTCTTCATTTTCTCAATCTACAAATAGAGTTATTAACACTGTTTCAACACTGTCGAGGCACAATGATATAAATAAAAAATTCCCAGCATATAATAAATACTCCATAAATGTGACTTTAATTGTGTATTTTTCTAATTTTGTCTAGACATTTATTAGATATAATTAATCGTTTATAGTAGAGGACCTGGACAAAGTAAAAATAGTTATTTAAACTTTTTATTTGCCTTGATCTAACAGCTTTTATTTCTCTTAAAATTCCCATACTTTTCAAATGTTACTTCCCTTCCCTCTAGTGATTCATTCCTTCCCCCAGAGAGCCCAACTGACCTCTGTGAACCGTCTGAATCGTTTTCATTTATTGACACTGGCATCTGCTCTCCTGTCACCTACGGTTATGATTCCATTTAGTTGTATCTTCCTTGATTTCTGGCTCAAATCCTTGGGAACTTTATAGCAAGCGTTATCCTTTTCTTTATGGAGACTCCTGAACTCAGAAATCACAAAGGCAAATAGATGCTTAGAGAGACTAGGCAGGTAACATCATCGAGTAGAGTAGCAAGACTGAAGAAAACTGACCAATGGCCTACTTACTACCAGTTTGTGGTAGGAACTAAGGCATATTGGAGTGTCCATGTGCCATTCAAAAGCAGCAGCTGCAGTTCAGCACTAACAGATTATTGTCATCGAACCAATTCAGAGATGTTTTCATAACTTTGAAAAACATTGTATGAGCCAAGCAAAATATACCTCTGGGCCAGATCAGGCATTAGAACCATCAGATTGCAACCTCTGTTTAGATCGTTGCAAACAGTCATCAAGCCTCTCTTATCCTTTTTTTCCTGGATAACAAGCACAGCTACTTCATACGGTTAAGCAGCCTATACCTGGCATAGAGCAGGTGGGGGTTGAAATCCAGCCTGTCCCCTGATCACCAGAACTTTCTCTAATTCATTTCATCTCAAGGCATCTGTGGACTAGCATCAGCCCAGCTGAACATCCTGGTCCCCTTCAACCACTTTTCATGACACAAATTTTCCACTCATCTCACCATCGGACCTTTTTTTCTTCCTAACACATCACAATTCATCAAAGTAGAATTTCCAAAAATTGTCTAGAAATACGAATGTGGCCTGATCAGCATGGGGTTGAGACTTTCTCTTCCCTAATTTAGAAAAGAGATGATTAATTTGGGGTTCTTAGATCTCACAGTAATCTCTATATTGGCTTCAAGGCATTTAGAGGAATCTATAAACCCACTTAAGATTGTATACAAGATTTTGTGAGGTTTGCATATGTATATGCATATTTTTTGTTGTTGTTAATCCTCACCCGAGGATATTTCTTCCATTGATGTTTTAGAGAGAGTGGAAGGGAGGGAGGAAGAGGGAGAGACAGAGAGAGAGAGAAATATAGATGTTAGAGAGACACATCAATTGGTTGCCTCCCACACATCCCCCGGGGCCTGGAAATGAACTCACAATCCTGGTACGTGCCCTTAACCGGAATCAAATCCACGACACTCTAACCACTTAGCACCACAGGCCAGGCTTTGTATGCATATTTTTAAAAGAATAAAACCCAAAAGAATATTCAACATCTATGAAAGACTGTTTCAATTAGTCTGTAGCATTAGCTTTTGGGAGGCAGTCCTGTCAGAATATTGTCCAATATTGAATTTAGTCTCTGCTATAACCCATTTGTCTTTTTCATATATGTTACTGACTGCAAAACTCCGTAACTCCCTCCTGGATACTGCACTAACCCGATTAATGCTGGTATCACTGATTCTTTAATCTCAGTCTGAATAAGTACCAGTTTTACTTATTCAATTTTATATTATTAGAGTGGTGCTAAAACCTATAATGTTACGATTCTAAGACTTAAGAAAAATAATACTCTGCTGGAAGATTCAATTGATATGTTACTTACATTAACTTTTTTTTTTCTCCTCTGTAGGTCGAAAGTTTAAGAAGTTCAATAAAGTCAGAGTTATGAGGGCACTAGATGCTGTCACGCTCCCGCAGACGGTGGGCATTCCAAATGAAAGCCAAGCCCTAAGCCAGAGAATCAGTTTTTCGCCAAGTCAAGACTTACAGCTGGTCCCCTCGCTAATCAACCTGCTAATGAACATTGAACCAGACGTGGTCTATGCAGGACATGACAACTCCAAACCTGATACCTCCAGTGCTTTGCTGACGAGTCTTAATCAACTAGCCGAGAGACAACTTCTTTCAGTAGTCAAGTGGTCTAAAGCACTGCCAGGTAAAAATCATTTGCAAGTAGTAGCAAGTAACAAAAATGTTACTGTGTTTGTTGTACTAGTCCAGTTGATGGTGAACCTTTTGAGCTCGGCGTGTCAGCATTTTGAAAAACCCTAACTTAACTCTGGTGCCGTGTCACATATAGAAATTTTTTGATATTTGCAACCATAGTAAAACAAAGACTTATATTTTTGATATTTATTTTATATATTTAAATGCCATTTAACAAAGAAAAATCAACCAAAAAAATGAGTTCACGTGTCACCTCTGACACGCGTGTCATAGGTTCACCATCACTGTCTCTAGACTCTTAATAGGTTAAGAGAAAGATAGCATCTGAAAGATTTGGTGTCTAGACTAAATTAAACCTAATGTATTTTGTGAAGAAAATATTTTATACTTTATACTTGGTTCAGAATCTTATCTTATTTAATTTTGTTCTGTCCTTTGGCAATTAACTACTTCTGAAATACAAGGGGGGGGGGGCAGCGGGCAGAGAGCTACAGGAGGGCAGCAGCAAGGTGCATGGATTCATGCGCAGGGCTACTAGATGTTAAATAAAAGTCCGTGCAGTAAATTACCTATAATGTAAAAAGCAGGTTATAATATGTGTTTCAGCAGCTCAAAGTAGTTACGATCCTAGATTGTGTTCTATTTGTCTAGGACCCTACTATGTGCTATGGAGAAACAAAATATGTAGCTAACAGTCTTATTCTTATTAATGAGTCAATAATTATATATATCAAACAGTTAAAAAGCAGCATACATTTATGTTCAACATAGACATGATAGTAGTTCAAAGAAAGACACATTGACCATCTTCTTAAACATGTCTAGTTCATTCTAAACCCTAGTTTGATCAAGCTCAGTTGGTTGAAAATAAAACTAGATGAATCTACTATATAACACATCAAAATAGTATTCAGAGTACAGCAGGGTATCTACAGGCAACCGAGAAACAAAATTCCTAAACATAAATAAATAATTTTCACAGAGAGAAATGAATCTGCAAGTCACTATTTTCTCTGATTTATACCAAACCAAGGAGGTGACTATTTGAATTTAAATCATATCATCATGAAAGGATTTCAGTTATGTAAGCTATTTTTGCTCCCTCAGCACCACTTTACAGGAGCTAAGAGGTTGAAAGAATTACAAGGACACAGTTCTCCCTTGGCTAAATCTTAGACTGCAGAGCCAAGAGAATATGTGGGTAGCAATTGCTTTGTGGAGGTGTTAATCCCGTACTTAGAAATAGAACTATTTTTAAATTACATTCTCTTTACACCAATAATATCCTTATACTCCTTTAGGCTAATTTATTTTTCTGATACCTGATCAAGAATTAAACATATTATGTTATTTTACTCTCCAAGTAAATTCAAGAACCTTTAAAAAATATATTTTCTTCCCAATCTGCCTTAACCCTTTGAGTGCCAACCAATATCCTAGGAACTATGCTAAAATTGCCAAAGCATTTTTGCTGATTTTACAGCAGTCTAGGAAAAAAATTATGAATCGCAAGTAAATGAAGTTACATATTCAAAAACTTAAGGAAACCTTTACTACATTGGCATATTTAGCAATATCATCATCACTAATAAAAGCAGACTTAGAACTGGACGCCATTTCGAAGCTTTGATAGCGCTTCTGGCACTTTTGGCGAAAGACAGGAGGAGCCCGATTGCGCTCCCCGACACTCTATTAATATATCTAGTATTTCTCAGTCACTGGTCTACCTGAAAAGATTGAAATGCAAAAATGAATTGTTATTTAAAATTGAAGGTTACATGAAACTTAGAGAAAAACAGATCTGGTTGTTGAATATCTTTTAAAATTATATATGTTGAGAAAAGTTGATAAAATTTACTTCTAATGGAGATAAAGTAATTTTATAGAAAAATCAAAATGCCCGTGTTTTTATTAGCTTCAGTCTTGCTGAAAGGCCTTGGACATGTAATTTTTTTATTATTAGAAATATTCTAAATGTTTAAAACTTACAGGAAAGTAAGGGGGCTGAGGGCCGTTTTCAGGCTGGCGGGTGACTGAAGCTCCCAACTGCTCCTTTTTTTCTTTTTTCTTTTTCTATTCTGGGCCAGCTTTAGCTCTGAGGCCTCGGCTGCTGAAAGCAGGTTTCTGGCCTTTACCTTCTGTATTTGATGCAATGTTGCGGTCCGGCTGGCTGCAGCCCGGCTGACTGAAAGCCGGTTTCTAGGGTTTTGTTTAGCTTCTATATTTGCAACATAGTTGCTTAGAGTTGCAGCTGAGAGGCCGGCAACTCAGGTGGGGAACATTGGAGTCTGCAGTCACTGGAGCAAGCAAGCCTCCTTGTTTGCTTCAGTGCATGGCTGCTGGCCGCCATCTTGGCTGACAGTTAATTTGCATAAGGATATGCTGATTAGCCAATGGGAAGGGTAGTGGTCGTACGCTAATTACCATGTTTCTCTTTTATTAGTGTAGATTGTCACCTAAGTTGCTTCCATATCTTGGCTATTGTAAATAATGCTGCATTGAACACAGCATTGTGGAATTGTTGAGTCATATGGTAATTCAATTTATTAAATTTATTTCTAGGTATTTTATTCTTTATGATTCAATTATAAATAGAATTTTCTTAATTTCTTTTTCTGATATATCATTTTTACTGTGTAAAGACAAACAATTTCTGAATATTAATTTTGTATCCTGTATTTTACTGAATTTATTTATTAGTTGTAATAGTTTTTGTGGCATCTTTAGGGTTTTTTAATATAATATCATGTCACCTGCAAATAGTGACGGTCTTACCTCTTCTTTTTCAATCTGATGCCTTTTACTTCTTTTTCCTTTCTGATACTATGGCTAGTACACCAATATCACATTGATTACAAATAGTGAGAGTGGGCATAATTATCTAGTTTCTAATCTTAAAGAAAAAGCTTTTAGCTTTTCATTCTTGAGTATCATGTTAGCAGTGGATTTGTTATACATGACCTTTACTATATTGAGGTATATTTTCTTTATTCCCACTTTGCTGAGTGTTTTTTTCATAGAGTTGTATTTCATCAAATACATTTTCTGCATCTATTGATATGACCATATAATTTTAATCCTTTGTTTTGTTTGTGGTGTATTATGTTAATTGATTAGTGGATATTAAACCAACCTTACATCCTGGAATATATCCCACTTGATCATGATCTTGTTAATGCACTGCTACATTTTGTTTGCTAATATTCTGTTGAGGAATTTTGCATTTACGTTCATCAGGTATATATGTACACACATATATTTTGTAATGTCTTTATCTGGTTTTGGTGTCAAGGTAATGCAATGCTGGACTTATAAAATGAGTTTGAGAGCCTTCCCTCCTCTTCAATTTTTTTTGGAATAGTTCAAGAAGGTAGGTATTAATTATTCTTTTGAATCTTTGGTAGAATTCACCTGTGAAGCCATCTGGTCCAGGACTTTTGTTTGTTGGGAAGTTGGTTTGTTGTTGTTTTTTAATTACTGATTCAATTTCAGTACTAGTAATTGGTCTGTTCAGATTTTCTGTTTCTTCCTAATTCAGTCTGAAAGATTGTATCTTTCTAGGAATTATCCATTTCTTTCAGGTTGTCCAATTTGTTGGCATATAACATATCTCTTTTAATTTTTTCTTACAATCCTTACAGCGTTTTCTTATAATCCATTCTATTTATGTGGTGTCAGTCATCACTTCTCCTATATCTCTGATTTTATATATATTGGGCTCTATTTTTCTTGATGAGTTTGGCTAAAGGTTTACCATTTTTTTTTTTTAAGCTCTAAGTTGAATTGATCTTTTCTATTACTTTTTAGTCTAATTTCATTTATTTTTGCTCTAATCTTTATTAATTTTTTTCTTCTACTCACTTTAGGATTTGTTTGTTGTTATTTTTCTAGTTCCTTTGGGTGTAAAGTTAAATTATTTGAGATTTTTCTTGTTTCTTGAGGTAGGCCTCAATTGCTATGAATTTCCCTCTTAGATTGCTTTTGCTGTGTCCCATAGATTTTATTATTGTGTTTCTATTTTCATTCCTCTCAAGATCCTCTTTCATCTGTTCACTAACTAATTCATTGTTTAGGAGCATGTTGTTTAACCTCCATGTATGTGTGTGTGTGTTTTCTAGTTTTCTTCTTATAATTGATTTCTAGTTTCATACTATTGTGATCAGAGAAGATGCTTGATATGAGTTCAGTCTTTTTAAATTTATTGAGACTTGTTTTATGGTCTATCATGTGGTCTATTTTGGAAAATGTTCCATGTACACTTGAAAAGAATGTATATTCTGCTGTTCTGGGGTGGAATGTTCCATAGATGTCTATTAAGCCCATCTGATCTAATGTGTCTTATAAGAATACGTTTCTTTGTTGATTTCCTGTATGAATGATCTATCCATTGATGTAAGTGAAATGTTAAAGTACCCTACTATTATTGTATTAATGTTGATCTCTTTCTTTATGTCTGTTAATATTTTCTTTATGTATTTAGGTGGTCCTATGTTGAGTACATAGATGTTACAAGAATTATATCCTTTGTTGGGTTGATGTTTTTATCATTTTGTAATGACCTTTTTTGTCTCTTGTTACAGGCTTTGTTTTAAAGTCTATTTTGTCTAAGTATTGCTACCCAGCTTTTGTTTAGTTTTTATTTACATGAAAATCTTTTGATCTGAAGTGAGTCTCTTATAGGCAGCATATGGGGTGCTGTTTTTTTATATAGTAAGCCACCCTGTTTTTTTTATATAGTAAGCCACCCTATGTCATTTAATACATTTACATTTAAAATAATTACCTATAATAATAAAAACATAACATGCTAATTAGACTGGATGTCCTTCCAGACAAACCTGGGGCTGCAAGGGCTGAGCACCTTGCACAAATTTCGTGCATCGGGCCTCTAGATAGTTAATAAAAATACAGGTATGTAGTTATTGCCATTTTATTCATTGTGTTCTGGTTATTTTTGTGGTTCCTCTTGGTTCCATTCTTCTCATGCTC